GTGTATTTCCTCCCAAATCTACAGTCACCACGCGAGTGGTCTTCTACTGTTTTTGGCCACGTTTGGTGGTACAGAATATGGTAAAAGAGGAAGAAGAGAAAGAAAGCCCAATCATGTCTTCTTGCTCCTTACTGAGCCATGAGGATGTATAACATACCCTGGGAAGCCCTGTAGTAGTGTCCAGAGGAGGATGGGGCTCTCCGTTGTAAAAGGACATCCCATCATTGAAGGGGGCACTCAGCCAACATGTGCTTGGCCTGCACTCTGTGTTGGGTGCTGGGCTAGGTGTAGGCACTCAAGGACCCTCCACGAGCCCTGAGTCTAATGGGGGAAAGTGTGGGTAGGAAACCGATCATCTCAGCTCAGCACCGTTAAGGGCATGAGCCAGCTGGCCTGGGAGTAGAGAGGTGGGAATGACTAACCCCAGTTTAGGAGGTTCAGGTGACATTTGATTCCAGTCCATAAAGAAAACAGGCCTTACCTAGGCTAAAACCAGCTTGGGAGCTGAGCAAGAACCAAACATGTCGGTGAGCAGAACTGTCAGCTCCAGCTCCTCAGGGGCATTAGGTGGCAAGCTCCCTGGAACCACGGTGTTCAGAAAACGTGTGAGTGTTTGACAAATTACTTCTTCCTGCATTTTTTTATTGAGGGCTGTGGGTAGGGGCAGCTGAAGAAGCACATTTCCACCAAGGATTTAGAAAAGGGCAGAAACTTCATCTAACATGATGCCAAAAGAAATGGGAAAGCCAAGATTTACCCCATGGTGTTTGGAGGAAGCTAGGGTCCCCAGGAGCTAGGAAGGTGTGGGGTTAGGACTTGAGGGGTGAAGAGTACGTGAGATGAAAAGGCTGGAGTGTTACCTTGGTTTCAGGAGGGGTTGAGGTCACATTGGAGTTACCGTTTTAGCAGAACACTATAGCTGAGTGACAGATCACAGGGGTGAGGGGCTTGTGCCAAAAGAGGAGGCACCTCTAATTTTGGCAGACCCTGGAACACCCCTCACAGGAAAGCAGTTTGCTTGGAAGAAATTACGCCTTCTCTCATTTTGTGCACAATGAACGTGAATAAAACGTGAATGAAATAATGAGGTTAACATTCTTTAATACTATAAATGCCAATAAACATACAAAAACATGCTCAACCTTGTCAGTAATGAGGGAAATCACGGGCAGTGATTCATACTCGAATTTGTGCGGGACCTACTGCTACCTGTGTCATGTTCTTTCCCACTGGATTTGAACCTGTGAGGATATAGGCTGACACTGGTGCTGCCATCTTGCCACCAGGAGGGGACAGCTTGTCTGGGAATGGAGCCACACTAGAGAAAGAAGAGGTAAGAGATGGAGAGAGAGACCAGGGCCTGACGGTGTCACTGGAGCCCCCAAATCAAGCTGCACCAGTGGCCAGTACTCCCCTGGAACTTTCAGTTATGTGAGCTAAGTTTGAGTCAGAGGCAGATCACTGACAAGAGTTCTAGCCAACACAAACACACTGATGGAGGAGCAGACACTCATGCATCTGTCACTTACTGAGTGTTCACTCCACACTGTTCTAAGCACTTTATATGGATTGCTTCATTTAATTCTCACCACAAACCTATGAGATAGGTAGGGCACTCTTATTTTCATTTTACAGTCAAGGAAACTGGGGATATACACATACAGTTTAAAAACTTTGCCCAAGATCACACAGGCAAGCTTGGACCTAGACGGTCTGACATCACAGCCTGCCCTTTAAACCTTCTCAGAGATTTTGCATCAGGCGATGAAGGGCGGGTGCTTCCTCTGCAGTTGATCAAGGCTGCCTTTCTTTGCCTACAGGTTCGTGCGTTAGCGTAGCCAGTGGAATCCTGGACATCAAGTCTGTGGGAAAAATCCACAAGATATTTTCAGACTCATTGTCTTTCTACATTTAGAAGATGATGATGATTTTCCATCATGCAGTACAATGATATGGGATTAATTTGGTAATTCAATGTTTGTTGTGGGAATGAATAAATTGTTCTCCATCACTAGGAGATTTTTGTCAACTCACTTTGAAGTTGGAGAAGAAAGACGCCTGCTTGTTCAATGTGGCATCCACTTCTACTTTGTAAGTTCATATAATATCTGCTGACGGTGTTTCCCCATTTGCATTCTCTGGGAAGATGTTATTTATTGTCCCTGACGCTAGAGGAAAAAAAATTAGGTCACTGCCTCACGCATCTTCCTGAAACCGTCCATAACACGGGCTTCCTCAGACAAAGTGAGGCATTTTCTGAAGAAATCATAATCCATGCTAAGTCTTTTTTCTTTTCTTTTTTTTTTGAGATGGAGTCTCACTGTGTCACCCAGGCTGGAGTGCTGTGGTGCCATCTTGGCCCACTCCAAGCTCCGCCTCCCAGATTCATGCCATTCTCCTACCTCAGCCTCCCAAGTAGCTGGGACTACAGGCGCCTGCCACCGCGCCTGACTAATTTTTTTGTATTTTCAGTAGAGACAGAGTTTCACCACGTTAGCCAGGATGGTCTTGATCTCCTGACCTCATGATCTGCCCACCTCGGCCTCCCAAGTGCTGGGATTACAGGCGTGAGCCACCACGCCCAGCCTGAGTCATTCTGTCATAGCCCAGCTTTTCTCTAAAATGGCTGTGTTCTCAAATGTTGGCAGGTAGCATTCTGAGGCAATGTTGAATGTGTTTCTTATTCATGAGATGCCCAACCTGCAGCCCTCTGAAACTGTAATATCATCGCCCTCTGAAACTGTAACATCATCACGTTTTACAGAGTACTGAAGTCACTTGGCCCCTGAAGCATTGATTCTCTGTAGCTCACCTCCTTCTTGCCGTGAGGGGAACATCTCCAAGATGCCCACGGTTCACTCTGCACACCACACATAATGTGGGCAGATGGACTTGTGCATAGAAACCCTTCTGTAAGCTCCGTCTGAAATATTGATGTCTTGTGGATGAAACTTTGTAAAAAAGTCACTGATCTGCTTCATTTCAGCCATATGATATCAATGCGGAGTTAAGAAATTTTTGCTTTTTGTTAGGGGGAAGTTGTAATCCTTTTGAAATGACTTACTTTTTAAAAAATACACAGAACATTAGTATGTATTTTTTTTTGACTCATAATGCACCCTAAAATAATGTAGAATCTGTATCCCTTCTAAAACAAACAAACAAAAAAATCACGTTACCTGAAAATCAACTGTTAAAGTCTTTTTAGAAGGATATGCAACATTTATTCTCAAAATGTTTAACTCCAGGAGACAGAAAACATGTATAGGCTTTGGAGTCAGACAGACTGGGGTCAAATCCAAGGGTTTTACTTAGTGGCTTTAGGGCTTTGGGCAAAACACTCTGTATCTCTGAGCCTCAGTTTCCCTTATCCATAAAATGGGGGAAAATACTATCTATGTACAAGGGATGAAGCATAGTATAAGTATCTGAGACATTGCTTTTTTTTTTTTCTTTTTTTTTTTTTCTGTTTTTTTGAGAGGGTATCATGCTCTGTCACCCAGGCTGGAGTATAGTGGCACGATCTTGGCTCACTGCAACCTCCGCAACCTCTGCCTCCCAGGCTTAAGTGATTCTCATGCCTCAGCCTCCCGAGTAGCTGGGACTACAGGTGTGTGCCACCATGCCCTGCTAATTTTTGTATTTTTAGTAGAGATGTGGTTTCGCCATGTTGGTCAGGCTGGTCTCGAGCTCCTGACCTCAGGTGATCCGCCTGCCTCAGCCTCCCAAAGTGCTGCGATTACAGGCATGAGCCACTGTGCCTAGCTGAGATGGCTGTCTTTATTATTACCCTCCCTTGTGGATTTTCTCCTGGATAAGCTTCCCATAGGAACTTAAGGATCAATTTTAGGACTAAGGTGGGAAAGCATGTGTGAGTGCTTGAGAGGTCACCTCTTCCGGCACTTTTTTATTGGAGCAGCTGAAGAAGTACATTTCCAGCCAGTATTTAGAAAAGGGGAGAAACTTGATCTAACAGGATGCCCAAAGAAATGGGAATTGCCAAGGTTTGCTCCATGGCGTTTGGAGGAAATGAGGGGCCCCAGGAGCTAGGGAGGTGCCAGGCTAGGACTTGAGGGGTGAAGGACACTGGGAGCAGTCATTTGCTTCAGAAAGATTCCCCTTGAAGTTGTAAACTTCCCTCATTCATTTAAAACATGACTTCATTTTCATGCCACTTTGGGGACCATATTCCAGGTAGACCATGAAGTCTGTTGGTTGGGTCCCTGACAGACCCAGAAGAGACTGAGTTTCTCTGGAAAAGCAACTTGGTTTTTTCTTTTTTTTAAGAGAAGTCTCGCTCTTGTCCCCCAGGTTTGAGTGCAATAGCTTGATCTCGGCTCACTGCAACCTCCGCCTCCTGGGTTCAAATGATTCTCCTGGCTCTGCCTCCCAAGTGGCTGGGATTAAGGCGCCTGCCACCATGCCCGGCTAATTTTTGTATTTTTTATTACAGACAGAGTTTCACCATGTTGGCCAAGCAGGTCTCGAACTCCTGACCTCAGGTGATCTGCCTGCCTTGGCCTCCCAAAGTGCTGGGATTACAAGTGTGAGCCACCACACCCAGCCGAAAAGCAACATTTTAAGGTAGAAACCAGAGCACTGCTAGCTCCTGGGAGGAGGTGGAGGAGCAGAAGAGACCTGGAGGAAAGAGGGGAGAGGGGCAGGTTTGGAGAAAGGGGAGCCTTGGAAGGCAAGGGTATCCCTGAAGGTCACCCTCAGCCGAAAGGCTTCCAGTGGGGTGGGTGGGAGAGGACAGGAGAGATGGGGCCCTACGGCTGGATGAGAAAGGCCCCACACAAATGGTTAAAATATTGCTCAATTCTATTTTATCATGAAAAAATGGCAGTGACCAGAGCTGCCTGGATTAGGAAAAAAGGGTGTAATTCCATCTTGGGGCTTCTGGTGAGTTGAGCTTGTGGTTCTGTGGTTTATGATGTCACCAGAACCCCTGGATGGAATTACAGCCTTTTAATTTACAACTTGGTAAGTGGGGAGACTGAGGGTCCATCATGCCTGCTCAAAACATGGCAAGAACTCAAGGGTCAAGGTTGGCCTGGGAGGTCAAGTTCTGGGGGCTGACCCCTTGAGCCCTTACTGGGTAGATAGCCTTGGTAAAGGCATTTTTCTCTTCCGTCCTCTGGGTCCTCTTTCCCTGTTTCCCTACCCCTCCCTCCTCATTTGCCTGAGTTGCACAGCTTGATTTTCCCATGATTTATTTTATAAAAAGCCCAAGTTAACCAGACTCCTCTGGCCTTCATGCTCATTTAGCTCCCAGTTCAAACCTTCCCATCTCAAGACGCACCCAAGAAAGGCACACATGTGATATCTGACTTCTGAAGGAAGAACCCTACCATGAAGCAAGTGGCTCACTTCTGTCTTTTGCTCTGTTCCCAGCCTCCCACTTGACCATACATGCCAAGGTTTGGAAGTGATGGAGATTACAGTTTAGCTCATCCAGTGACCCAGTCTCCGTAGATGAACCATTTGTGGCCTCCTGAAACATGGCAGCACGTCCATCCCCTAGTGCCTTTGATTTTGTGGCTTCTCAGCCTCCCTTTGTTCACCAACCTTTAAACATGTTTTCGGAATATGTACCAGGAGGCCGGGGCTCAGATCTGGAGGCGTAATGGATGGCAAGATAGATGTGATCACTGCCCTCATGAAGACTCCCCACCCCCACGCCTACCTGCCTTGGCTATCTGGGTGTTGCAGAGATCAGAGTTCGCGCGTCCAAGTCTGTATGTCCAATGCTGCTCTTCCACAAGGGGGCGCCCATTCGGTGGATGCTGCCATCCCTGCCTAGTTGCTCAACCCTGAGATTTAGGAATGTCCTTCCTGACTTCTCCCAGTCCCTCAGCCCCAGCTTCCAATCCATCAATGAGTTCTGTCCATTCTACCTCCAAAATAGAACTCTTCTATTCTGGACCACTTTTCCCCATCTCGAGGGTATCATTTCACTCCACCAGCTCTTACTCACTGCAGCGGCCTCCCAGAGGCACCTCCCACTTCTTTATTTTTTCCTCCCACCCAAGGGTTCTTGAAGAGAAGTCCTCTGACCAGCAGCCTGATCACCTAGAAATTTGTTAGAAATGCAGGTTCCTGGACCTCCCGAGGCTGACTGCTCAGAATTTCTGGAGGTAAGAACAAGCAGTCTTGGTTTTAACAAGCACCCAAGTTGCTTGTGATGAGCTCACATTTGAGAATATCTTCCATTCTTTTTTTTTTTTTTTTTCCGGAAACAGAGTCTCATCCTGTTGCCCAGGCTGGAGTGCAGTGGTGCAATCTCGGCTCACTGCAGCCCGCGCCTCCCAGGCTCAAGCGATTCTCCTGCCTCAGCCTCCCTAGTAGCTGGGATTACAGGCGTGTGCCACCACCCCCAGCTAATTTTTGTATTTTTAGTGGAGACGGGGTTTCACCATGTTGGTCAGGGCTGGTCTCGAACTCCTGACCTCAGGTGATCCACCCCCCCCTCGGCCTCCCAAAGTGTTGAGATTACAGACATGAGCCACCGTACCTGGCCCCATTCATTTTTGATACAGGCAAGGTACTCAGCACCTTTTACACATTCTCTTATTTATCTCCATTTTACAGGGGAGGAAACGGAAATCTGATCTTACAGGATACATTAGATTGTATAACTTTCAAGCTGAAAACCCTTCAGGAACTTCTCATTGCGCTTGGTATAAAACTCTTACGCAGCCTGCATGGTCCTGCACCATCTAGCTCTGGTCTCTCTCCCTGGCTTCCCCTCGAGAGATGCTTTTCCTTGGGCTCATCTGCCTCCATGCCTTTTCACCTTTCAGTTCCATGAATGCACAATTCCCCTTCCAGCCTTAGGGCCTTTGTGAACACTGTTCCCTCTGCCTGGAATGGATAGTGCCTTTACCTCATCATTAGGGTTTATCAAAGATGTCACCTTCTGGATGATGTTATAATATATTGCAAATTATATAGTCTGTTGGATATTCATGGTGCACATTAGCATTTTAAAGACCCCGATAATTCCTGCAGTAAAGAAGCCTGCTTAGTTTTGTCTCATTTGGCATTTTCCAACTCTTTTTGACCAGGTAGTAGTTTTACCTAACACCTATGACTGCCTTTTGATTCAGGAGTTCTGAGTCACAGTTCTCTTACCTCCACTGAGAACATGAGGTCATAGTCACCTCTTTTTCTTCTTGGCACTTGCAGGTTTCTATACGGTGACTTCAGAGTCCACGCTTCCCTGTATTTGACAACTCTAAAGTAAACCTGAAGCCTTACAGCTGACTTTCATGTTGGTACAGATTTTCTGTGACTAGATTCATTTACTCTGTCAGCACATGTTTTTCAGGTACCAATGTACAAAGTGTTCTGTGAGGCACATTTGGAGGCAAAGAGGTGAATAAGGGATGGACACTTCCTTAAAAAGCCCATGGGTTTATGTGGGAAGAGTACATGCAAACAAATCACTAAAAAGAGGTAGAATGGCCAGGCATGGTGGCTCACGCCTGTAAGCCCAGAACTTGAGGCAACTGAAGTGGGAGAATTGCTTAAGCCCGGGAGTTTGAGACCAGCCCCAAACAAGGTAACAAGGTGAGCCCCTGTCTTTATTTAAGAAAAAAAAAAAAAGAGAGAGAATGAATAGCAATAAATAAATGCTCCATGTCAGCCCCAGGATAGGCAAAGTACACGCTGTCTAAGGCACACACAAATTCCATGCATTATACCTAATGCTCACTGCAGCTCTGCTGTCGAGGGGCTGTTTTCCCTTCGTACAGATACAGAAACAGAGTCAGAGATTTGTCTCTTGTCCCCGTATCACACTGTGAGTGACGGAGACATGGTTCAAACTTTTCTGACTCTGAAGCCCAGGGTCTTTCCAAATACCCATGCTGCTGCCATTCCCTGAACAGGTTTCTCGAGACCTAAATCCAGATAGTCTCTGAGACTGTCATATATTAGAGTGGGCTCTAATGTTTAAATAAGTACTATCTCAGGAAAGCTGAGCTGTGATTCTTGTCACTGATGGGAATTGAGAAGAAGACTTTAACCTTAAAAAAGGTATTTTTTTTTCTGTTCTTTTAGGTTATCTTTATTTTATTTGATGTTTTAAAAACTTTTAAGTTCAGGGGTACATGTGTAGATTTGCTACATAGGTAAACTTGCGTCATGAGGGTTTGTTGTACAGATTATTTCATCATCCAGGTGTTAAGTCTAGTACCCATTAGTTATTTTTCCTGATCCTCTCCTTCCTCCCACCCTCCATCCTCTGATAGGCCCCAGTGTGTGTTGTTCCCCTCTGTCTCCATGCGTTCTCATCATTTAGCTTTCACTTATAAGTGAGAACAGGTAGTGTTTGGTTTTCTGTTCTTGCATTAGTTTGCTGAGGATAATGACCTCCATCCATGCCCCTGCAAAGGACATGATTTTGTTCTTTTTTTATGGCTGCATAGTATTCCATGATATATATGTACCACATTTTCTTTATCTAGGCTATCATTGATGGGCATTGAGGTTGATTCCATGTCTTTGCTATTGTGAATAATGCTGCAACGACCATATGCATGAATGTGTCTTTAAAACAGAATGGTTTATATTCCTTTGGGTATATACCCAGTGACGGGATCGCTGGGTCGAATGGTATATCTGTCTTTAGGTCTCTGAGGAATTGCCACACTGTCTTCCACAATGGTTGAACTAATTTACACTCCCACCAACACCATATCAGTGTTCCTTTTTCTCCACAACATTGCCAGCATGTTACTTTTTGGTTTTAAAAAAAAAGTTATTTCTAATTGCCTGAGCAATTAATAAATACATTCTTTTTATTAAAAATAAAAGCATTTTAGATATGCAAAAGTACTCTGCTATCCTGGTCTCCTTTCCTCTGTGACAAAGGTCAACCATGTAATCAATTTAGTGTGTGTTTCTCCAGACCGTTCTCTATATATTACTTAGCACAAATGTAGGCAATATGGGAAATATCACACAGAAAGATTTACCTTGTAATTTTTCTTCTTTTCTTCTGCAGTGTATTTTGGAGCTCTTTCTATGCTAACATGTATAGCTACATCATTTTTTGTTCCCAACATTTTGTTTTGAAACAACTTCTTATTTTGAAACAGAAAAGTTGCAAGAATAAGAATAGCTAGAAGAATTTTCAAATACCCCTTTTTCAAATGTATTATTTTGCCCTATTTGTTATATGTATGTATGTGTATATATCTGTGTGTATGTATGCATATATGTATTTTAATATATTTTATATATCCGTCACGTATAAATATACAATTTATTTTTTTTTTTTTACAAATTATTTGAGAATAAGTGGCATATGCTATATTCCTTTCCTAAATGTTTCACTGCATAATTCCTAAGACTAAGGATGTTCCTTTTTTTTTTTTCTTTTTAAGACAGGGTTTTGTTCTGTCACTCAGGCTGAAATTCAGTGGCATGAGTATGGCCCACTGTAGCCTGAATTTCCCAGGCCCAAATGATCTTCCTGCCTCAATCTCTTGAGTGGCTGGGACCACAGGCATGTGACTCCACACCTAGCTAATTTTTAAATTTTTAGTAGAGATAAGCTCTCACCATGTTGCCCAGGCTGGTCTTGAGTTCCTGGGCTCAAGCCATCCACCCACCTTGGCCTCCCAGTGTTGGGATTACAGATATGAGCCACCACATCTGGCAGGATATTCTCTGAAATAGCCTTAATAGTTGTCAACTACTCTAAATTCAATATTTATATCCTACTTTTATTTCATTTACAATCTAAATTTTTTTTTGTCAGCTAATCAAATAAGGTCCTTTATAATATTCCTCCCTCTAATCTAAGATGCCATCTAGGATAAGATATTGCTTTTAGTTGTTATGCCTCTTTGGTTGTCTATTAATATGGAACATTTTTAGTCTTTGTATTTTATGATATTGACACTTTTGAATATAGTCGCTTTTAATAAAATTGGCACTTTCTTATTTGGGGTTTTGTGATGGTCTCTCATGATTAGATTGATGATGAGCTTCAAGGTAGGCATTTTCAGCCAGAATATTATATAGGTGATGAGTTCTTCTCAAGGCACCACATCTGCACACTCACTCACAGTGTCTATCTGCCCCTTGTTGGTGATGCTAACTTTGATCATCTACTCAAAGTGTCGTCTGATTTGTTTACCATGTAGTCACTATGATTTTCTTTTCACAACCACAACCAATATGTAGTCTGTTGGAAGATACTGAAGGTCATGCGAATAGCCTGCTCCTCATCACCGTTTCTCCCCAGATTTAGCATCCATTGATGATTCTTGCCAGATCCAAACTTTATTGTGATGGTTGCAAAATGATGATTTTCTAGCTGCAACAATTCTTCCATGTATACCAGTGGGCTTGGCATTCTGCTGTAAGCTCGAGTCCTCCCTTCTCCCTTACATATTTGTTTACCCGTTTATTATGGACTCAGGGGTTCTGATTTTTCAATGGTCTGTAATGTTACTATCCTTAATTATTGTGGTGCTCAAGTTGTTTGATTTTTGGCCAGTGGGTCCCCTCTCCCCATGTCCTTACGGGATGTCCTCATCTTTTTTTTTTTTTTTTTTTAAGTATCTCTTTCCTTTCTGGCATTAAAAAATATTCTAGGCCCATCTTGTACCCGCCCTGCCTTGACTCTGGAATCAGCTATTTCTCTGAAGAGCCCTGCTGTTTCCTTCTTTTCATAGAAAATATTATCATACACCAGGATCTGCATGCTAGCACACTCATTGCTACTGGGTCTCATTGCTTTTACCTACTATATTCTATTTAATGACTTCCTGGCATTTCATAGAATAGTTGTACAACTGTTTATTTGTCCATTGCTCTATGAGTGGATGCTTAGGTTGTTTCCAATTTGTCCCTATTTCAAGCAACTCTCAGCGAACATTTGGTTACACACTCTGTGTATTTATGCTAGGAGTATCTCTCTCTCCAAGGGTAGCTGATGAGAAGTGGAATTTCTTGATCATAAGGTGTATATGTTTAAAATTTTACTTGATAGTGTCAATTTCTTCTCCACAGTGGCCCCACCAATTTAGATCACAGCAAACAGGACATGAGAGTCCTCATCTTTCCAGACACTTTCTGACGCTGAGTATTACAAACATGTTGCTTTTACACAACTCCAGGGGTGAAAAATGTGGACTGATTGGCCTCATGTTCATTTTCCACATTGTAAGAAAGGGTGAGGAGCTCTTCCTGTGTTTATTGGCCCTTTGTCTTCTTGCTGGAGGGAGGAGAGGAAGCTTTGTGAGGGATGGAACGGTAGAGCCAGACCTCACTAGATGAGTAGGCTTTTAGGAAGTAGGCAAGGAGGGAGGCTATTTCACATGTAGGAAATGACAGAGCCAACCACCGGGAAGTGAAGGCCAAGTAAGTGTAGACTTTGGATCCCCCACTTTCTTGGGGTGGGGCCTGCTATTTTGTCCTGGTGCCGCTGCTTTCATGGTCTTCTCTATGACAAGCTTTGCAAGAGGCCTCCAGGAATGGGAGAGCTACTCCCTGGTCCTGCATGTAAAGTAGTATAAGAATTCACACCCATCTTCTTTGCCTGAGTGAGATTTAATTGTGGGCTGAGATAGCCAAATGTTTTTCTTAAGGCGGTGAAATCAACTGTGCTCACCAAAAATTGGGTCAAGTGAGGGTGCAGCCAATGAAGGAAAGAGTACAGAATAAACGACCTGTGGTGGGACATGGACTGATCTGGTCAGTGATATGAAACAGATAAAACCTCACCCACAAGTGACAGATGGAAACCCAACACAATATGTGCTATAGCGATCAGGACCATATGAGAGGCTAGCTCTTCATTTTGGCTGAATGGTCAGAGGCTTGGAGGAGAAGCAAGATGGCATGGCAGAAAGAATAATGGAGGTGGCTCCAGGGTCTTGATGAGGTTTTGCCAAGAGACAGGTGCAGGCAATTTACTAAGCTATAGGCAAGGCTTTCTTTCATAGCAAAAATGCCTTTGTGGGAAGAAAGAGCAAGAAGAAGGGGATTAATTTAGAGCATGAGGGATTTAGGTCAGAGATTTGAACTGACTGAGGTAATCCAAACAAGCGATTTGTCAGGGAGTTTGCGGAATGTCCTTCTCTTCTTTGATAAAGGCATATGTTCTTTTCTATTGGAATGAACTGGAGGAGTCCTGTGTGAAAGACCCTCCAGGCTTGGATTCTCTGCCAAGGCAGGGCCTCCGTGGGTCGACTGCAGATGTAACTGTTCTTGGCAGACCTGACTTGCCACTCACAAGTTCACGTGCTTTCTCTGTCAAAGAAGGTTGGGGAGCCTCGCCAGCAGGACTCGAACCTCTCACACGATTACTGGCCTTTGGGGCTGCAGACGTATCTGGGAAAATGGTAAAGGTGTTTTTTTTTCTTTCTTTCTTTCTAATTGTTATCTCAACTTGATTTTCATAGTAATACCATAGTGAACAATGATTGTATATCATCATCATCCTAATCTTCCTCTTTTGTTATTTTATTTTATTTTTCATTCAGAGTCTTGCTGTGTCGTCCAGGCTGGAGTATAATAGTGCCATTTTGGCTCACTGCAATCTCCGCCTCCTGGGTTCAAGTGATTCTTGTGCCTCAGCCTTTTGAGTAGCGGGGATTACAGGCACGCCCCACCACACCTGGCTAATTTTTGTATTTCTAGTAGAGACAGGGTTTCACCATGTTGGCCAGGCTGGTCTCGAACTCTTGACCTCAAGTGATTCACCCGCCTCATCCTCCCAGTGTGCTGGGATTACAGGCATGAGCCACCATGCCTGGCCCTTTTTTTTTAACCTTTCAATATGAGAACATTTAAATTTGCAAAGTTGAAAGTCTAATACAATGACTACTGTGTCACCCACCACCTAGATTCAACATTTTTCTTCTATATCCTTTATCTCAATATACATTTGTGTATGTGTGTGTGTTGTATATACAAGTATGTATATCTAACTAAATATCTGTATTTTTTCCTTTTGCAACTTGCAAACATTATGATCTACTTTACCCCTTCTGGAGACAGAAACCATACCTTTTATTTGAATGGAAAGAATTTACTATAATGATTTGTTAATTAGGTATAAATTTATTAACTACATAACTGAAAGAGTAAAAAGAGAACTCCTTAGATTCCCTAGAATCATAGAGGAAGCAATTTTTATGAAGTAGCTACCATCCCTAGGGCTGAGGAGGGACCCTATGTTGCTGAAAGTCTGATCCCTGAGACTGAGCAGCTGTTAGTCTGGTGCTGGTCTCTGAGCTGTGGGGCTGGGCCCCAGACCTCTGAGAAAGGGGCCTAATTCAGTGGCTGCTACAGAAATGAAGTGCCTCTGCCAGGGTGAAGCATTATCAGGTGACAGAACAGAAACAAACAGGAAGTAGGAAGAAGCAAACCCTTTCCTCCCCTCCAGCCTTGCAGCCTCTCTCTAGCTCCTGCTTTTGACGGAGCCTATCACATGGTTTGCAGAGTCCTGGATCCAGCATCACAAGGTCAAGTATAGAAAGGGAAGCTTGGAGCAGAAAGATAATATTTTAATAACTGTCATGAACCATAAATACTTCAGTATGTGCCTCCTAAATTAGGAATATAGTCCTACATATAGACAATAATAGTCTCATGCCTAAGAAACAGTGATTTCCTAATATCACATACCCAGTCCATGTTGCAGTATCTCTAATTATCCTCCAAGTGTTTTGTTATGACTGGGATTTTAGTGTGTTAGGATGAGAAACCACTCATGTTTCCTGCATCGCATTTACTTGACATACCTCTTCAGTCTCTTTTATTTTAGAACAGTCTTCTACTCCTCCCCCCTCTTTTAAATACCGATGATGAAAGGCTGGGCCAGTCGAGTTGTCCAAAGTCCTACAGTCTGAGTATCTGAGTGTTTCTTCATGGTATTGCTTTATCTGTTCCTCTATCCTCAATATTTCCTGTAACCTAGAGGTTAAGTCTTGATTAGATTGAGTAAATTCATTTTTTTGGTCAAGAATTCTTCGCAGGTGGTGGTACACCCTTCATTGCAATGTATATATTAGCATATGAATTATAGTATCCTCTTTGAATATATTTATTAACTTCAGATACACTTTTGTACCCCTGGGAACAAAAGTCAAACAATTCTCACGGAAAGACAGGGAAGAACATCAGTTTTCACTGTAACAGGTGTTGCTGGTTAGTTCTGGTAGAACTTGCTCTGGTCCCCAAGCACTGAACCCTGCCCTGCTGTCTTCATGCATCATCTGGAGATGTTCTGTACTATGTACGGGAACCTCTGCTCATTTAGACTGTGTTTTGTCCCCCTGAGCATCCAGTTTTACAACCCTCCAGGTCCCCCACTTGCTCTGGAACCTACACTGTGGCTTGGCTCTCCACTGCCTTGCCCCTGAGTGTTTTGCTGCAGAGCCAGTGTGGTGAGAATGGTCTGTTTGTGAAGGGGGAGTTTTCTCTTCTTTTCTTGTCCCCAGTTGTCATTTTTGTGATTTCTTTCTGAAGCTGCCTTTTAAAACCTTGCACTGTGTCATATTTTCACCCCATCTGTAATCATGCCGTTCTCACCTGAGACTCTGGTCTGTCTCAGCATCACTGATGTGTTCTCTGCTTTGCGGTTCAACACCTTGGATCTTGGCCATCCTGACTTCCCTTTGGGATCACTGAGCAAAGCCTTTGTCAATGACATTGGATCCTCTTTCTGGGTTTTATTTTCATCATCAAATCCATTTCACCTTCTCATGGGCATGAGTAGAAGGGTCAGGTGAGCTCAGCTCTGAGCCCAAGTAGCAGAAGAGTTGTCAGTTTAGTTTGTTACCTTAGATGTCTACAGGGGTCCAACAGGTTTAGTGAAATTGAGGAAGACCAGATGATGTGGTTTGGCTGTGTCCCCACCCAAATCTCACATTGAATTGTAATAATCCCCATATGTCAAGGGTGGGGCCAGGTGGAGATAATTGAATCACGGGGGCAGTTTCTTCCATACTGTTCTCACGATAGTGAATAAGTCTCAAGAGATCTGGTGGTTTTATAAAGGGGAGTTCTGCTGCACATGCTGTCTTGCCTGCTGCCATGTAAGACATGCCTTTGCTTCTCCTTTGCCTTCTGCCATGATTGTGAGGCCTCCGCAGCCATGTGGAACTGTGAGTCCATTAAACTTCTTTCCTTTATAAGTTACCCAAAGGTTTTTTTTTTTTTTTTTTTTTTTTTTTTGAGATAGGGTCTCTGTTGCCTAGACTGGAGTGCAATGGTGCGATCTCAGATCCCTGCAATCTCTGCCTTCCAGGTTCAAGTGATTCTCCTGCCTCAACCTCCCAAGTAGCTGGGATTACAGGTGCGTGGCACCATGCCCAGCTAATTTTTGTATTTTTTAGTAGAGATGGGGTTTCACCATGTTGGCCAGGCTGGTCTCAAACTCCTGACCTCAAGTGATCCACCAGCCTTGGCCTCCCAAAATGCTGGGGTTACAGGTATGAGCCACTGTACCTGGCCTGGTATGTCTTTATTAGCAGCACGAGAACAGACTAATACATCAGATATATGAAATTCAGCAGCTGAAGTTCAAGAAGAAATAGCAACTGACCTCCAGTTTCTGTGTGGCGGGGAGTCCATGAAAAAAATACTACCAATTCTTTGCAGCTCCTCCTATCAAGAGGTGGTGTCTATTTCCCCAGACTTTGAATTGGACTGATCTTTTGTCTTCCTTTATCCAATAGAACATTAATGAAAGAAACGTAGGCAGAGGCTCAAAAAGTGCCTGCCTATTGGGGCTGTCCCCTGTCCTGATGATGGAAGAGCCCACGTGAAGGAGCTGAGCTGGCTGCTGGACAGGCCACATGGAGGAGAATCGAGGCATTCCACCAACAGCCTGTCAGCCTCTGGTTGCAGCAAGCAGTATGAGTGAGCCTCGGCAAAACTGGCTGAAGAAATGCTCAGCGGAACCCAGCCCAAACTGCTGACATCCAGAATTGCAGTTAATATATTATCATTGTTTTAAGCCACTAAGCTTTGGGGTGGTTTCTTATGCAGCAAAGGTTCACTGGTACATGCTCCATCTGAAGCAGGCAGCTCCCACCCAGTGCCAGCCTAGAGATGCCATGCTGGAATATGGCCCCGTGTCCCCATGTCTTCCAGTTCTTTTCAAGACAAGAGAAAATTCAAGACAATTTTTATGTGATGCATTCCAACTTTAAATGATAGTACTAATTAAAAATGTTAAAAACATTCTACAGGTCCAAAGAGACAACTGGAGGCTGGATTTCATCTCCCTCAGACCATCCCTCTTCTTGCTACTGGGTCCAGTGTTTGCCCCGATTATTCTCCCTGATCCAGAAAAGTGGACTTTGGGGGATGGGGGTGGGGGACACATGAGCCAGCAGCAGCCTCTAGAGACTGCCAGCAGAGGGCTGGACGAGGACCCAAGGCTTCATTGGCTGTGGACCACTGAGTCACTGATGGACATGGTGACACGATAGGAATGCTTCTGAAAACCTCTTTCAGGAGGGATTTTTCTTTTCAGACAAAATCCCACCTCCTGTCAGCTTCTCCCCAACACAGCTCATTCCTCTATAGGGCAAATAATAAACACTGTACCCCCCCCATATCTGTCTCCCTCATTAGATTTGGGGGAGCTCCTGGAGGGCCTCATGGAGAACTGGTTTACTTTTCCATCCTGATGCCCTGACTGGTGACCCGGTGGATGCCTGGAACGTTCTTTGCTCCCCCTCTCCTTGTCCTCTCTGACAGTTCTCGACATAAGGCAGGCTGCGTGTCACAGTCCCAGTCACCTTTCTTTGGAACCCTACATCAGAGTGAGTCACTGGGCACAAATGTTCATCTAGCTAAGGAATTCAAGAAAATGGAATTTTCTCACATTTTTTGTCAACTTATGGAAAATCAGCTATGGAACCAAAAAAAAAAAAAAAATTTCCAAAACCAAGCGCAAAGGTCCCCCACATGTTCAGCGTGTCAGAGGCAAACTCCAAAGAGAAGGTGTCAAGCCGGCTCTCTGGCCTAGGGACAGCCACACTTGCCTCTGCAGAACCTCTGAGCTGTGACAGGCACAGGGCAGCTCGACACGGGCCTCTGGAGCCAGATGATTTACCTCGAGTTGGCAGTGCAAAGTTTTATTGGACCTTTGCAACACAGGCCAGCCTGCACATCTGGATGATTATGGAAGAATAATCCACAGACTCGTGTCTTTTCTCCATAACACCCCGTACTCCCATTGAGGCAGCAGTGCCAACACGCTTTTTCCATTTTCATTCACATCTTTGATCCCTCATGGTCTAAGACTTGGCACGGATGGGCAGGCCAGGAAAACATTGAGCAAAGGCTGTGAGGCACCCTCAGGGAGGCCTGAGGAGGAACAAATGTGCCCGGCGGGGCTACCTCTTGGCTCTGCATGGAAGTTCCTCCCGACAATGGCTCTCTGTCCCCAGTGGGTGGAGAGATGGCCATGTCTTGGCAGGAGCTGGGCCTGGAGCTGGGTGGGAGGCGCATGGCTGTCCTCTCTCCACTAGGGGGTGGGGGAGTTTGGATGTTGGCGCTGAGGCTGGCTGCCTGCATTAGAACTCAGCCGGCAAGGAACGCAGGGGGCTCAAACACTGGGTCAGCCTCAGGGACTGAATAGGGATGGAGCTTTCAGAGGAGTGGCCCATTGGAGGCAGTCTGGATGGGCATTTGGGTCTGGCCCAGTTTGGTCCAAGGCGGACCAGGGAAGGCAGCTACTCTAGCTGGGACCCCTAGCAGTCCTGACCTCCAGACCCATCTGCAGGCCATCCTCCCTCAATGACAGCTCTGTTCCTTGTCATAGGCCAGCCAGAAAAGGTGGCTGGGCACTGGTTGGAGGCCAGAGGGATGGACTTCCTCTTGCACCACACCATGGCACGGGGTTTGAGGCTTTCTTTCCCGCAGCAGGCAGGGGAAGGAGGCGCCAGGAAGTCAGTTGCACCCTGTGCTATTCCCCAGCCTCCTGGCTGCCTGAATGTCCTGCCTTAGGAATGTTATTCCTTTGAGTCAAAGTGTGCATGCTTCCCTGGGATCTCCTTTAAAAATACTCTCCGAGAGAAGAAAAACATTATGAAAGGGCTGTCATAGTTGCCTTTGTGGATTCATTGATCATACCGCCTGTTCCCCTTGAGCCTTTCGCTTGAATTAGAGGCTGGAGAGAAAGGCTCAAGAAATGCCAAGCACACGAAATGTTTGGAGATCTGGGGCCAGTGGTGAAGGGGACAATTGAGGCCTCCTGGCAGTTATCTGTGGAGGGAAAAGGTGGAGTAGAAAGAGTATTTCTAGAATGAAAGAGGGAGCTGAAGAGGGAGGGGACAGGGGCATTGAAAAAAGATCCTATAATTTAATCTCTTACTGTTTTTCCGCCTGAGCTCCTTGAATTCTGAGCTGAATTGTTAGTCTCTCACTCTTCCCAACTTCCTTGTCATTTACTGAGGGATTGAGAGAAGGATGCAAACTTAAGTAAATCTTGACTCTCTGAGTCTTGATTTTCCTGCTGGGGAAATGGAGAGAACCATTAAATGAGGTTATGCATGGAAGGAAGCAAGCCCGGAGTCTGTAAGGAACTTCTGGTTTCTCAACACAATAAAAGAAAATCTAGAGTGTCTTCCTTTACCCCTATGTGGAATAGTACTAAAAATAAGAATGCTGCAATTGCTGGGAGGTTGCAGTAGGGGCTCTGGTGAGAATAGAAGGACAAGAGGATGCTGGCTGCAGCCTGCAAATCGTCATCCAGTTGTGCCAGATGTTGTCATCAGTGGAGAGTGGGGAAGAGGGGCCAGGTTGGCTTCTGAGCTTTTTAGGTGAGTGGCCCCTTTTTGTTTTGTTTGAGATGGAGACTCTCTCTGTCGCCAGGCTGGAGTGCAGTGGTGTGATGCAATCTCCGTCTCCCGGGTTCAAGTGATTCTCCTGTCTCAGCCACCTAAGTAGCTGGGACTACAGGCGTGCAGCACCACGCCCAGCTAATTTTTGTGTTTTTGGTAGAGATGGGGTTTCACCATGTTGGCCAAGATGGTCTCGATCTCTGGACTTTGTGATCTGCTTGTCTTGGCCTCCCAAAGTGCTGGGATTACAGGCATGTGCCACCACGCTCAGCCGGCTCCAACTTTTTTTTTAGAGGCTGGGTGGGATCCATGTATGCCCTGGCTATAAGTACACAAGACATTTTTTGAAAAATGAAAATAGTCAAGCTATATACGAATATCACTTTTGATGATTTACGCTCAAACAAATAATTTGAGGAAGCCACAATCTACCAAAAGTATAAAAAGCAAACCACATAGAAATGCAAAATGTTCCTCTGTGGGACAAACAGAATGTTTGCTTTCCTATGTGCAGTTAGGCCTTACCATTCTGTGGGCTGGATGCTCTTCCCAGCTCCAACTTTATGAAGTGAAAGAAGGACCAAAACACCTATGGATCTATTCCTACATTATTTAAGACACCTTATAGCGAACACAGAAAACAACAGGACAACCTGCATAAATAAGGATGTCAGGGCGAAGAAGAACAAGGGTAAGAAAATAAGAAAAAGCCAGAGATAGAGTTGCGCACAGATATTTGAGCCTTCAAGTCCTGCCCAGTGTATAAAGGTAAACTACAAGTTTGGTTGTGAGCTTACTGGTGGCCAAAGCAAAGAGGGAAATATGATCTACAAAAGGACTCATGCTGTCCATCAACGTAACAGAAACCAGCTCACTTAGGAGAAGCACAATTCTTACTGGAACCAAGGCTGAAGAGATTTCTATGCTGGGTTTTCCTGGAGGAAACCATGTGTGATGAAGTCAAGTACTTCCTCACCATAGCTGTACAATACATGGAGCAATGAATTTCATATGCCTTACAAAAATCTCGCAGTGGAAGCAGATCCCTCCAATAAAACAACTATACAAGGACCCCAGACGCTCTGGCCCAAACATTCAGCTTTTTCATGATTGGATTTTACCCAAAGGTAAAATGTAGACAGTGTGGAACAGTAACTTGCAAGGGAGTCCTGTGGGATAAGAATATGTGCGATGTGAAGAAAAGACCAAACAAAGGTAGGCAGGATTTTTAAAAAATTGCAAGACTTCTTAGAATCCATCACGTGTGAATGCATTCATGTTTCTGTGATTTGCTGTCTTTCCAAAGCCTACATGACTGAAGAATCCTGTGTGTGTCTGTAGCATCTTGGAAGCCCAGTGGAGAGGGGGGGACTAAAAGCAAGGAAAGGACCCACAAATCCAAAGCTAGAGTCACACAATCTTGTTCCCTAACTACATCCTTACCCCAAGCTTATTTTTGAAAGGAATGCTGGTGAGTGTCACCTTAGAGTGTACTCAAATGATGCAATGGTTTCTGTATTGGTTATAACCTTCCTAGGACATATAAATGAATAAGATAGATAAATTGACATCTACTTTAAGAATAAGTATTCAATGAGGCCCCTCCTAAAATGGTCTTGCATATGTCCGGTGGCAAACCTGCCTACCACACTTGGGAAACTGCCTTCTAGATGGAGGTGTAGACTTCACCTGTCCTTCCCCTAAGCCTCTGTGGATTTGGGGTCTCATCTCTGAGACGTGATGAGGATTAGGCAGAGGAGAAGTCAGTGACTGTATTCTGTGGCCCGGGCCCTGGATTACCATGGTTCTGGGCATGGCATGACTATGTTATGGATCAGTTAAGGGCTAATTCATCCACTCTGGCCTTCCGTGGAGTGCCTAATGGAAGAAGTTCAGGGAAAGAACCTGATGTTGCTTGACCTGACTAGATATGAGCTAGAAAAAAATGAACATTATTCTCAATGTTTAAAACTTCTGACTGGGTCCACTTCTTTTTTTCTTCTTTGTTTACATTTACTTTTCGTCTTCTTGAGGGGTGATTTCCAGATGGGATCCTTCAGGTTGTATAAGAATGAATCGGTTTCATAGCCTATCATATCTCCAGCATTTCCACCAGTTTTGTGGCCAAATGTTTGGAAATGTTTGCTTTCTAAAGACAGCT